CTTCGTACACATGCTTAAGTGTAAATCAGCTAGACCATAATAATAATAATAATAATAATAATAATAATAATAATAATAATAATAATAATAATAATAATAATAATAATAATAATAATAATAATAATAATAATCCAGGGTCTCTTATGCATCAATTCACGTAAGACAACTCGAACGCGATAGCCATCTCTTTCTTTTTTCCAATCAATTGATGTGTTCATCCTGCCCCCCTTCGAAAACTTTCTGCAACTAATGTGGTTATGCATTGCCTCCACGGTTAATGACACCGTTTTGCGTAGCCAATCAGCCAGCCAGCCTTTGGACAAGCTATGATGGGATTGTGTGCGATGACTTTATCATGTGGTGCCACATGACTTTATCATGTAGCACCACATGACTTTATCATGTAGCACCACATGACTTGTAGCACCACATGACTTTATCATGTGGTGCTACAATGACACGTCATCTCGTGGTGATTCCTTTTTGCATGCATCTATCGTTCTCTACATTGCAGGATGCGAGACGCTGCCAACGGTCAAATTTTACTTTTAATGAGGCATCTAAGGCTGGCGATTTCATTAGTAATCAATGATTTAATATTTACTTATTCATATAGCGTGCCCAGAAAAAAATTATAAGGTTGAACATGTGCATCTAAAAAACAACAATAACGATTATTATTATTATTATTATTATTATTATTATTATTATTATTATTATTATTATTATTATTATTATTATTATTATTATTATTATTATTATTGATAAGATATTTGTGCCAGAAGCGTGATGTGGAGGCAAACTTTACTGGGGCATTCAGGGGTGCTTCCCACCACCTTGCGCGTATAAATTTCGAATATGTATTTAAATCTAACAAGCATAGCGTCAATCGCTTACACTGAAGCGGTACCCCGAACAGTTGTATAGACGTGCCAATTTGCCATTTGCATGGAGGGGGATGGTTGTATTAGCCGATCAGTGGACACCGATGATTGATTTGTGGGGTTTAACATCCCAAAACCACGTTATGATTACGAGAGACGCCGTAGTGTAGGGCTCCATAAATTTCAACCACCTGTGGTTCTTTAACCAAATCTGAGTTCACGGGCCAACAACATTTCCGCCTCCTTCGAAAATGAAGCCGCCACAGCCGGGATTCGATCCCGCGACCTGCGGGTTTGCAGCCGAGCACCTTAGCCTCAAGACCACCACGGATGGGTCTCAGTGGACACCGAGGGCAGCACAGGAGATAAACTCATCGTATCGTTGTAGTGAGCATATGAAAGCGTATTTAAACATCAGTCATACTTTTACAACAAAGATATGGCTGGGAGCGGCAGCTGCCAAATGTGTGCCCCTCTCCCACCTCAACGACACCAGTAGGTGGTGGAGAGCGAAGGCGTGATGGAGAGGAAGAGAGAAGTTTTAATGCGCATTCATACCTCTCACCCTGCCACTGTTTTGCTGTCAAAACGCTAGCTGTCACGTAGAGACAGCGGCGTGGATAAAAAAACAGAAAAAACAAGGGAGGGTAAGGAGAAGGAATCCCTCGTTGATCTCTGGGAAGGATGGGGGGGAGCAGGCGAATAGTCATTTTTCTCTATGTATACCACGCCAAAAAAAAAAATCGCCCGAAAGGCGCGGGGAGGGGGAAGGGCAGAAAGGGGTAACGGACTCAGGTGTGCCAACCTCTAGCTACGCCACCACAGAACACCACTGCCTAGAGACGTAAAGGAACGGACACCCGGTCAGATACCTTTCTTCTCTGTAGAGCAGGAATGCATGCCATTCATTCTTTTCTGCACACGAACAAAGCCACTGCTGCAAAAGCATTGCCCTTGAGATCTGTACTTATTGGCATTGTGTTGCAAAGACTCAGAGATGGCCATTGCTGATGACATGTTGTGAAACCTTTTTTGTTATACAAAACAAAATACAAACAACTGCATAACTACACATATTGCAAACTAATATATAAGAAGGCTTCATTTGGCTTGAAAAGTTATAAATACACTTGATTGTTATTTTGAAATATTCATATAGTGACTCGATAGTGCTGCCACCTGCACACTTATTTTGGTTAGGCTTGTAAATAGGCAGTTGCAACAGGCATCGTTGTACTGCGGGCTCACCACCAGCTTCACGCAAGAACATGTGCAGCAAGTCCGCGGTTACATATTTGCCGTGTTGATAGATATTGCGTGAATTGTATACTGATCCTCCTTTGGATTTCGATCTACGAGATAGTTTCCGCGTGTCGGGAAGTTCTGCTGCTTTCATCGAGCACAACTCGCCGTACGTTGCCTGCTCCAAACAGCCACAACGGACGCGCGCCTTCATGTCCGCTCTGAAAGTGATTTCTTCCTCCATTTATCGATTACTCGAGTTGTTCGCGTGATAAAATGTCGAGTGTGCTTCCGAAGACAATGCTCGACCCCTTGTGTGACAAGCAGTGACTGATGTTATGTGAGAGCGTGAGCTTTTTGAAGGGCGACTGAAGAGTGCACAGCCTATGCCAAATTTTCGGTAAGTTGAAGAAAGTCGCTGAACTACGTAACTGGGTTACTTCATTGCGTGACAAATGGTATGCAGGAAGTGATGGCCGGGGCAGCTTGTTGGCACAGCGGGGATGACAAACCAGACACCCGAAAGAAAGGTATGTTTCGAGGTGGCTTATTTTATATCACCGTAAGAAACAGTCGCTGTGTGCGTTGATTGTTTTAGATTCGCGGTGCACTACGTGATCTATCGTTCGGTTATGCAAGCCTCTTGTCGTGCTGTCATTCCTTGGGTGTTTACTGCACGTGATTATCCTTTGATCCCTTGTCGCCCTGTAAAAGTGTCTGCTTTTAAACATACTGGTGTTGCGAGAGCAGTTCACGTTCACCTAACTCGATAGTTTGTGTGCTTTTACGCGCAAAACAATCAAACGACTGGGCACGTAGATCGAAAAACGCCCAGCCCTGTCAAGCACACACGAATGATGTTTTCCTGGCTGTGCTCCGAATCTTTGTGCCAGAAATCCATGTAATTTCTCTATGGTTAGAATTTCACTCTAGCTACCTCACAAGCTACCTCACAAGAGAGCTACCTTCAAGTATACGTATTTCAGTAATCTACACTATATGCTGAAACTAAGAGTACACTCCTACCGCTGCATTGAAGATATGTTGATATCGAGTGTTAGTAGACGAATATGGGAATTCAATTTAGTTAATTAAGCTAACACATGACACCCTTTGTTGCAATATTTGCGTGAACTTTTGTTAGCTATATAAATCTTTGTTTTCTCCTTGAAGCATACCAGGTGCTTCAAGTTGTATTTCCGTGCTTTCTTTTTTACATCAGTGTTGTACTGATATTGCCTACCTGCTTGTGTGACTAGGATGTATAACCTATGTGTATAATTCAGGGATTTAGTATTTCATTTCATTTCATTTCATTTATTGAAGCCTTAAGGGCCCGGAGGCATTACATAAGGCGGTGGCAAGCATTATATGACGGACTCTCAATCACACAAACGCCGAAAAAGGAAGAAAAGACGAAGAAATGGATAAAGAACATCTCTAAAAAAGGAATCAAGCAAGAAGAAGAAAAACTACTTCTGTAGACTGGAAATAAAACAACAACATACATAGGTGATCAGCATCTTAATGCATGAGTCACTAAAAGTTGATTACTAACATGGTTCAACTAGGAATTCATTTCACTTGAGGTAAGATGCATTGTTATTTTTTCGCGAAAAGTTGGGTGGTCGGTGGAAGAAACAATACTGTCGGAGAGGGTATTCAACAGGGTTATTGCATGGGGGAAAAAGCATCTTTCATTGATGATGTGTGGCACTGCATGTGTGCGATTGGCTTGCTGTGGTTGAGGCGCGGCGAGATTCAGGGCGGGGGTTCAAGTCGAGGGTGCCTGGCAAGTGGGGGATAATAGAAAGAGTGAAGCAAGCAGAGACGCGATATTATTCGACGTGATTGGAGACATGGAAGGTCAAGTGTGCGTTTGAGTTCAGTGATGCTAAATTTACGCGAGTTGTTTGACGTTATGAAGCGATCAGCGCGATTCTGGATGGATTCTAATTCGTAGGTGAGATATGCTTGTGAGGGGTGCTAGATAGATGAAGCGTATTGCAGTTTAGACCGAACGTTAATCTGATATGCAAGTTTTTTAATAGTGGGTGAATTAGAAGCAATAGTAAATTAGAAGCAAAAAGATCTTATTCTTTTGTTTCCAGATGTTCACAGAGAGTTTCAGAAAATTAATAATTTTGCGAAGGGTTTATGTAATAAAAGAAATCCTACAGATAGTTTGTGTGAACAAAAGTCAAACTACATGGTAATTTGCTTCAGATTACCAACAGTTTCTTTTCTGAATAGCTTACATTTATGATGTAATACAATATATATGGGTCGTTCTTACACACGCCATGTGTGCATAAACCATGCACTCTTTGCAAATATTGTTTTCATCATTTAGATCACCCACACACATGTGCATGCTCTGCATAGTGTTATTACGTACTTTTGTGAATGCGAAACTTTCATTGGTACTCTGTCAATTGTCAGCAAGAAGGGGCTAGTCCAATATTGCCTGTTTTGATTGTGCCATGATCCCTTTATTCAAAAATTTACCTTTAATGTATGAGTATACCGGGTCCCGCGCCACGGGTTGAGAGTCCTCCAGGCAGAGTAAGCTTCACCACTGGGGTGACGCGTCACAGCCCTTCGAAGCCCGCCTGCACCCTGTTTAGCTACCGACGGGTAGCCGGCTGGCACTGGAGATTGAGCCCCGCACCTCCCGTAGCTGAAGCGGACGCGTTCGTGCAATGCAACAGCTACGGTTAATGTATCAGTATACACTTTGCTAAGACATGTTTGTTACTCGCTATCTGTGTGTGAACGTTTGTTGTGTGTGAACGTTGTTGTGTGTAACGTTGTTGTGTGTGAAAGTAATATTATGTGATAACTTTTTGTATGTATCAGCGATGGCAGCTGTTCATGGTCCGGACACAGAGGACAGGTTGCGGTGTGCAATTGGAGCGGTCTTCCTGCAAGCCCTAACGAGACTTATTAAGTGGTAGGCAATTTCTTTTTGTTACCACAGAGTGATATTTCGGACACTTAGTACCTATTTAGGTATAGCATACACTGTCTTTTAGCTTAAGTGTGGGAAGCCTATGTCCTGCACTTCAGTGCAGTATTCCTTGGACATGGAACATGCATCATTTGGTTTGTAATCCTTGAACATGGAATGTGCCCGGAGCCAACGTTGTGACACTTGGAGGCGTTGTAATAATGGGAACAGATGTTTCTTGTCACTGCTGTCTTGAGCAAGGCAAGAGTTCTTTTTAAAGGGTTGCGCAGGGAAAAACATTCAGCATTGTTTGTTAAACAATAGGTAATATTTAGCTCAATATAACACAAGGATGAGACCGGTGCACTTTATACAAATTGGGTTATTGATACGGAAGCACAAAAATTTACGGCATGATGCTTACCATGTATTTTCAGTGCTTCGGTTGCAATTAAAAATTTTATATGAAGTTGGGGCACGTGCCGCGTCCTCTCTCATGGTCTTTGTGTTACATTGTGCTAAATATCACATATGTTGGAAAGTTGACTGCAGCGACATTCCCTCTTATAGGATTTGTCGGTCTTTTCAAGTTTCCTTCATGAACATCTATTTTGTTTGGACTGCCATGAAATTGTGTGCAGTGAAATCTTACTTAGAGTCATGTTTTGCTTATTGTCGTGATGATTGCTTTTACCTTAAATATTTTAGTGGAAATAAAAGATTTTTTTAACTAAGTTCTTTTTTACAAGTGGAAGTGTCATTCATTTTATGTGCTTTTTAAATGGACTGCAAACAACATTGAAGTTTAAAAATTTAATGATTACAAATAAGCACACTTTTGCTATGTGCACATTCTGCCGCAAGAATTCGGCGAATTCGTGTCGAAGGAAGTCATGGGGGTTGTTGTTTCAGCTCGTTTTCGAATTTTCACGTGTATGAGCAGATTTGTGGTATTTTTTAGGTTGTAGTGCAATCTTGTTTTAAGTAACATTGTGCAACATGCAAGTACTTACTCCTTTAAAACAAAGGCTTCTCAGATAATCCTTATGCCTGAGAGTTTGATCTTCTGAATTAGGGACAGCTTTTCTTGAGAGGCAGCACATACTCATGTTTCATCACAATGTTTGAAACATGTTTCCACTACAACCTATGACAATACCATGAATGTGTTTATGCAACACTGCTCACAAGACATAGAGGCCTATCATACAGAGAAGTGTAATCTGTGTGATAGTGCCTTGAATAGCTTTGTCGGACTGCAAAGTTAAATTGTTGAATGAATTCATGCTCTTTTGGAAGTACAGTACTTACGGATTGAAACAGGGCACTTGGAGCGTGTGGCCGACGGTACATGTGCCGCCACTCATGGGTGCGCGCAGAACCAATGTGTTGCGTTGTGGTATAGGGCGATAAGGGGTAGACCTATGGAGCATGGCTACTCCTTCCGATTGCCAAATTGTCGGCCTGTAGTTCACCACGTGTACACTACCAGGGCAGCGCTGCGACGCTCGCACACATTCGCATGTCTACCAAACTGGCTCGCCGCTGCGCACCACTTTTATTGCCACGCCAGCAGACGACTCTCTCGTTCTGCGTGCTTAGGCAATGCAGTACGTATGATGTGCAAGTAAGACGCAGGATTCAGTTAGTAGATTGCGCCTTGTGTGCGTTTGTAGACATGATAAACATCTGCACAAAAGCCTGAAAAGTTTACTTCGTGGTTTCTGTCTCGAACAGAAAGAAAATGTGTGGCATGCTTTCCTTCTCGCAACATTGAAATAACATCATGTATTAGTATTGTTAGGACAAACTGCGGCCTATTGTTGAATAAAAATGTGAGAAGCCTCGCTCCTTATTCTGTAGCCAACAGCTCTACAAATGCTTGCCACGCAAAATAGCCACACTATTCACTGCTTGGGGCAAGACAAAAAAGTACTTGGTTATTGTTTTATTGCTGCACGGAAACAGGTCCATGGCTGGTGCTTTTCTTTTTCGTTGTGACAAAAAAGCTTTGAAAAGCTTTTTATGCTTTTGTGCAGCAATTTATTATGTCAACGAGCGCATTTCAGGCACAACATCTTAGCGGTATCCAATTACTTACTTGCGCAGCCTACGTGCCCTATCGTCGAAGGGCGCCGATAGAGAGCGTTGTCTGCTAGCGTCACTATATAAATGGTTCGCACAGTCCCCATCGATTCGAGCTCCATGCATGCAAGAATGCGCGAGCCTTGCTGCGTCACGCTGGCAGTGTGCACTTTGTGAACTAAATGCCAACTCTTTAGCGACCGGAAGGAGTAAGCCTGCTCTTTAGCTGTTTTTGCCCTCACTCTATACAACAGTGCAACGTCCTGGTTCTGCGAGCACCCATGAGAAGCGGCACATGCATTGACGGCCATGCGCTATGAATGTCATGTTTTAATCCGTGAGTGCTGTACATATATGTTGAGCATACTGGGCATGTTGGTACATACTTGGGAGGAAACAGGAGTGCAAGCAAATACATGGGCTGCTGCATCCATTATTCTTTCTGTGTCGGCGTCTTAGCTCATGACGTTGTTCACTTCTGAGTGTACATTTCATTTCCTCGCTGAGCTCCTACATACACTCTGAATTGTATTATCTCTGTGACGTAAGGGTTCAGGCGATATGTTTGGCATCTGCATGGTCTAAACTAGTCATGGGTTCAACACTGTGATGTGCTATTTCCTTAAATACTTGAGTAACACAAGTGTTTGGTCGGGTTGGTAATTCATTGCCTAGAAACTTTTGTAAGGTACGGCAAAATATCAATAGAGTAAAGGGAGTCGTGTTGTCGCCCTTTTGATTGTGCATGTTTTTTCTGCTGTTTAAAGTTTTCTTTAGAAAGAGTTCCTATCCTTGTCCTATCAAAACGTTCAGTAATTGCCAACACATCCCAGTGTAGATTCTTGTGCCTATAATGACCAGCGATCAATTCCATAATTTACAATACTGGCTAGTGAACATGGGCAACTGTGCACTCTAAGGCGTGGAGCTAGGTAAAAATATTTCCTTTTTTATAAAGCTTTTGTCACCTCTTCAAGGTACCTAAATAATGTATTTTTAGCTATTAATAATATGCAAAAATAATCAAGGTTACAAAAATGTTTCGCTTCCTTCCTCCAATCTGTTGCTTGTAGAAAGATGTGTGGAAACTACGTGTAACATGTCACAGCATGCATATCTGTGTATTATACTGTAGGTAACAAAAAGCATAATTTTTTATTTGTTTTCACTAGAGTTGTGCAGCTGTATCACCTAGACGTAGCTCTACATTTCATGTGCCTGTTGTTGCTCAATTTCATCTTGCACATAGGCGTGCGCATAAAAGTGGGGGCAGCCCCTCTACCCCCCAACTTGGTAACTAAGACGGGGGCTACAAAATTGGAAGCTTACTTAACTAAGTAAGGGGGAGTGCCGTGGTGAACCTCCCTGCCACCAAAGTGTAGGAAAACTCTGCACACGCCTATGACTTTGCACATCTGAGCATGCGCCCTCAATAGTTCTCAGTTAAAGAAGAGGGATTTTATTGTGGAAGCTTCGTGTAAAACAAAGTTGTGGAATATAGACCCACTGTTGCATGCCGTAGTCATACATTGGGTGCCATTGGCATCATGAAAGGAGGTTATTCTGCAATATTGCCTTAGAGAAGCTGATTCAGCTGATTCCTCTGTTCATGATAGCTGGCTTCTCTCCAATTACTGATCAATCGGCAGCCCTCTGAACTGATGTATAGTAGTTAGTTTTTTTTCAACGCAGCATTAAGTCAAGGCTTTGTGGTTCGACAATGAATTCAGAGAGATTATTTAATATAACTGATAAATGTGTATCAATATTTAAAAAAGGCATAACTCATCAATTGTAATGTCTATTCATGTGCTGCGCTAAAACTATGCTTCAGTGCCTTCTAAGTTTTTCTGTTTCTCTCTTGCAGGTTTTAAATACAGCAGCGGAGCGACCACGACGGTGCTACAAAAGACCCTATAATCAGTATAAAGTCGAAAATTAAATACAAATGCAGTTATTCCAGGAAATGTGTCATTGGGTGTTTCTTTGTTTGTTTGTACTTATGAAACAGGACGTTTGCAAGAATTGTAATGAAGGACGAACTAGCTCCATTTATTGTCTTATCCGAACTGAATTGCTTCACAATGTAATGTGTGTTTCCAAATGCAGGCATTATTACTTGCAGCATTATTTATAGGCTTCGAAAGATTCTGACGTGTAAAAAAATATGATCTGTTCGTTAGTGGAAGTGGTCTGATGGTATTTCCTTTACAATCCTGTTATTTGTGCACAATTTCATATTAATAATGGAAGCAATTGATTGATCTGCTTTCCAGCAAATGTTCTGTTGATGGCATAGGACCTTAGTCTACAACGCGACGTTTGATGTCAACCTAATGCATATGCTCGATAGCACTTCACTAGGCAATGGCCATCAGAAACTCAGATGTCAGGACTCTATAGACGAATGGTAGCCAATGGTCATCAGAAACTCTCATGTCGGGCCTCTATAGACTTAGGCTAGACTATAGTCATCAGAAACTGTAATGTCATAACTCTATAGACCTACGCTAGACTATAGTCATCAGAAATTCTAATTTCATAACTCTATAGACTAACGGTGGCCAATTACTACTAGACTCACATTAGGTACGCATTAGGAAAGCGCATTAGACTGACATTAGACAGTTTAAAGATTGTGATGTCGAATGACATTAGCCTGTTTATAAAAGTACATTAATTTTTTAATAAGGGATGGCGCTAAACTCATCACATTCATACATTAATGCATAGGCTTCGATACTTTGCGCCAATAAAACAACTATGTATTACCTAGAGTACAGTGTTTCATGGAATTTAGTATTATGCAAATTTCAATATTGTCATGCAGTATGATATTGTCAAACATTGTTTTCGCTTGTTAAAACTTTGAGAGAGACAAATGTGTAGTTTTTGCTGAGAGGCTGAAACCAGCCTCTCGAATGTTTTACTCAACATAGTACTCTTTTCGGCTAAGTAAGTCGTTCAACGCGTGATATGCAACAGAACTACCACTCAAAATATGCAACAGAATTAACGCCCAAATTAAGGTAATTAAATATCTATTCGCTGTCATAATGCCTAAATTTAACAAAAATTCAACATCTCCTGCTTTCGGCTGCCCACTCGTCAAAAAAGCTAGGAAAGACACGTTTTGCACACAAATGCCTGCGAAAAAACTCGAAACAAAAGGTATTGTTTGATTTCTCAGCAAACTGGGCAGCAGTCAGTTACGCTTCTTTTTCAGGCTACAGTCAAAGTGCAGTGAGCTCACAGTGCTTGCAGTTACACGTGACGTATATCGCCAGTCGCTGTCTAGTCTATGTTAGATAAATTCATAAAAAATCTGCCGCAGGAAATTGAAGTCGTTCTCAAAATACGTTCAACTGATGATTCGCTTACACAACGATGCTTTTCATTACCAAGAAAATATTCGTATATCACCTCTTGATTTGTTTGGTACCAATGCTTGTAAAGAATTTTTTTTTTGCTTCGGAAAACCAAGGCGCATCCATGCAATTGACAGTACCTATATGAATGAAAATGAGCCGAATTATTCGAAGAAGCTTTTCGTTGCTTCAATGAAGTGGTAATACACCGTCCCGTCTGTCCGGAATATGCTCTACCACACAAAAGATAATTTTGTACAAACACGGTAATCATATGACGCATACATTTAGGAGTTCTGTTCGTCCTAAATTTCAAATTTCTTATTGCACCGAAAGACCTGGTTAACAAAGGAGCATATCCTACAAAACTTGTTTTTGGCAGAAATCAAAACGTTCATGACCCTTGCACCTCACTGCATTTATGTTTTAAAATGATGCATTCCTTATCTCGTGTGTGTGTTCTTCTTAGCGCTGATTAGCGCTTGGAGAAGGAGCTTCGGCAAGCGGAGCTCGCCCACCGTCGAAGCGGCACTGATATGACATCAATAAGCCGCTGCCACGGATTTGTGAGAATAAGCTTGCTGTACCTTAGAACCAGCATTTGGTGCGTAATAAAGAACCCCCGGTCGTCGGAACTTCTAGAGCCCTTCACTATGGTGCCTCTGATGATCATATGGTGGTTTTGTGACGTTAAACCTTGCTGTTCATTATTATTATTATTATTATTATTATTATTATTATTATTATTATTATTATTATTATTATTATTATTATTATTATTATTTACCAAGCAACCAGGTACTTGCTGTTCTGAAGTTGCTGTTTTGTGTTCATCACGTACAAATATTTTGAATGACTTAAGTCTCATTTACAACGCCCAGCGAACGGCACGGCCATAAGACTGACTCGGTCACACGTGACGCATTAGAACAAGTGAGCAACCAAAGGAGTGGTGGTAACAACTTTATTATAATTCTGGCGAAATCGTGGCCTGGGCCTTGACCATCCCCGAGCCGCGCCGGAGACTGCCTCCTCGCCACTTAGTGGGCTAGCTGGATGGCCCGAAGTTCATCCTGGAGTTAGGAGTCGCTCAGCGCAGCACTCCACCGAGCCGCAGCATCATTGGGAGAGACTGCAATTTCTTCTTCTAAAGCGGCACATTCCCAGAGCACTGTATTAGCACTGTATTGAATTTCATGGCGGCTGATGATGTGTCTAATTTGGACTATCTTGAAAGGTCCTTTGATGAATTTCAGGTCCTTTACAACCCTGACTGCAGCACTGATAGGCTATGGCATTTCTTTTCAATTGTTGTAGGGAGGTGCATAGACAGCTATGTACCCAGGATTAGAAAACGCATTTGTAAAACCAATCCCTGGATTACCAGAGAAATCATTCACACAAAAAGAAAACTAAAACGGAAACAAAAATCTTGTGCAAAAAATTGTACCCCTGAAGGAACAGCTTGCATTTCTTCAATGAGACAAGAACTGAAACGTCTGATCAAACAATCCAGGGATCTGTTCTTCAATGTGACATTGACGAAATACTTGAAGGAAGCCCCCTCAAGGTTTTGGCGCTTTATAACTACCCCAGCAAGCTCCCCGAGGCCACCTGAAATAACTCAACAACGTGTTGATGATTTCAATTCTTTTTTTGCTTCTGTGTTTACTCATGGTAATGGCATTTTGCCCGAGTTTTCTAGGTCATCGTTGCAGCGGCCGATCGATGATGTGGTAATTAGCGAAGAGGGTGTCCTAAATCTTTTACTTAATATAAATACAAGAAAGATCCCCGGCCCTGATGGTATACCAAACGAATTTCTGTACAGATACGCTGAATGGGTGGCTCGCTTCCTTACAAAAATATTTCAGTCGTCCCTGCGCAGTGGCTCTTTTCCACTAGCGTGGAAGCGGGATAAAATTACCCCTGTTCACAAAGGTGGCTCCTCACGGGACGAGCGCAACTACCATCCTATTTCGCTTATCAGTACATGTTCAAAGATACTCGAGCACATTATTAACAAACACCTGATGTCCTATCTTGATACGCACAATCTATTATTTTCGAAGCAGCATGGCTTCTGCCGAGGCTTATCTACAACTACACAGTTAATCGAATTTGTTCATGATCTTTCAAAAACTATCAATTTGCATGGTCAAACTGATGTGGTATATTTGGATTTCGCAAAGGCATTTGATAAAGTGTCGCACTCAAAGCTCCTGTTTAAAATTGACAAAACGTTTTGAAATAACAACTTGACAAAATGGTTTTCATCCTATCTCAGCTGCCGGCAGCAGTTTGTTCAAATAAAAAATAAACAGTCTAGAGCAGTTGCAGTTATTTCTGGAGTTCCCCAGGGGAGCGTGCTGGGTCCCCTTTTATATTTGTTATATATAAATGACCTACCAAACCGGGTTACGGTCCCGATAAGGTTGTTTGCCGATGACTGTGTTGTTTATAGCAGAATCGAGACTGAACATGACCAAGTTAATCTAAACAACAATCTTCAAAGAATAAAGGATTGGTGCGAAGAATGGCAAATGAGTTTGAACACAGAAAAAACAGTGTTTATGACTATAACTAGAAAGAAAGCACCTCTAGATCACAACTACCAGATTGGCAATGCTTTCCTTAAGCGTGTACAAAACTATAAATATCTTGGGTTATGGTTCACGCCCGACCTCCGGTGGAACACTCATATTGATAATGTATGCTCCAGGGCTACCAAGGCACTGTATAGCCTTAGACGTAACCTTTATACCGCCCCATCTGATATAAAGTGTCTTACTTACAAAACCCTTGTCAGACCTATTATCGAATATTCTAAAATTGTCTGGGACCCTTACACAAAGACAAACTGCAATAAAATAGCAAAAGTACAGCGACTTGGTGCGAGATTTATTTTTAATAAATATCGCCGACATCATTCTCATACTGAACTTTGTAAAAAAGCTGGACTGGATAGTCTTGAACTTAGGACGAGGATCGAGCGTCTGAAATTCCTCTTCCAGTTAATTTATAATCATTTTAAACTAAACTATTCAGATTGCTTCCAGGTCAACACACAAGAACACTCCAGACAACGCCATAATATGTACATACCACCCCTAGTCCCACGTAACAATTGCTTTAAGTTTAGTTACTTTCCACGTGCTATTGAAGATTGGAATATGCTGCCAGAGCCTATAATTGGTTGTTCCTCGCTTACATCATTTGAACAGAATCTAAAACGTTTATTTTCTGAATAACAGTGGTGTGCGTGTGAACTTTTTGTTGGTTGTATGAACTGTAGTAGTTGTCTTTCAAATCTGCAGCGCGGTGCAAAAGTGCCGCCTCTAATGTGTCATGTGCTGTTCTGCGCGTATGTATTGCATTGCATGTGTGTTCCATTTCTTGTTATGTATAACTTCGAGTTGCTGCTCACAATAATACCGAGAAATTATCTCGAGACCTGTACGGTACTTCTTCTTCGCAAATGATTGTCTGTACCTCCACCCTGTAACGGCCCACTTCTGGGCTAACAGTATAAATAAATGAAATGAAATGAGAATGCGCCTAAGTAATATGTGAGACCAGCCTCATAGCTTGCAAG